CAGGAATGCTGGGGTCCCAGAGTAGGTAAGGCCCTGCGGTGCAAGGTGCTGCACATAGCAAGAGGCAGATACCACGCTATGACTAATGACCTCACTATGCAGTGAGACGAGTAAAAATGTCAAAACCGGGACAGGTTGTCCAATGCTGCTGTGATCCAGATTTAGGTTCAGAATCGCTCATTACGGGTCACAGCTCTACCGCTCTGGGACTGTTTTCTTTGCTGGTTAACTAGATTCATACCACTTTCAAAAAATTGGCAGGGCATTAACCATGCATCAAAGTCCCTGTATACAGAGTCTGCATGGAGAGCGTCCCATTGCATCCTCGCGGAACCGGCAAACTACTGAAGAGGGACCCATCTTCATGGGTGGCGGGTGAAGACACAGCTAGGGATGGCAAATCCCAGCCCTGTCCTTCTGCCTGAGGCTCCACCCCTTCCACCTGAGATCCCACCCCTACAGCAACCTACCCCTCCCTTCTCTGTGGTGCCAAGCCCCACCCAACCCAAGCCCTGAAGCCCGATCCTTGATGGCCAGCCAGAGGGTGGGGTTGCTGCTTCCTGGCCCCACCCCTCCCGGGGTGGCCATGGAGCCTAAGCGGGTTTGGGAAAGCAATGCCTTCTCTTGCCTCCTTAAAAGTGCAGGTGCACCCAAACTGTAGCCCCATCCCTGTGCCTCCCCTTCCCCTGATGTCCCACCCCTTCCCCCAAGCCCTCACCCTCACATCACTCCTTTCTCCCCAACTCCCACCCTTGCGTTAGACCCCTTCCCCCAAGGCCCTGCTCCTATGCCACTTCTTCCTCAAGTCCCCGCTCCTCTCTTGCTCTTCTCTGCCCCCCATCCCTCACCCTTATGGCCAGTAAAAAGCAGGAAGGTGCAGCCCTCCACTTTTAAAAGTGATGGGGCCATGTCCCACCCTCTTCCAGTGCCCCTGCCGTGATCTGCCTCTGGATCCCTTTGGACCAACAGGCAGGCATGGGGCCAGATTAACCAAAGAGACCTGCTTCCAAGGACACTCTCTCAATGACTTAACCACCTGCATTCTGCTACAAAGACCTTTTACATCTGCACTTGAAAGGGAATCCTCTGAACTGTCATTCATGTTAAAATTCGACACTCTCCAAAAAGGAATGAACAAATACACAAACTATCTTACCCATTACCAAGATAGCTTCCCCAATTATCCCCTCTAATACCATTAACTCACAAACATCCCACTCTCCCCACCTCTAATATCATCAATTCACAGACACTTACCTCCCTCCCTCCCCCCCCCTGCATCGCCCTCCTGTTCTGCAATGTGATTTGTCCTTTTCATACGTGTTCATTTTTTTAAATTGTATCCTTTGGTATATATGGTTCTGACTATTTTCTTCCACTATTTGATTTGAGGAAGTGGATCTGGCCCACGAAAGCTCATCATCTAATAAACCATCTTGTTAGTCTTTAAAGTGCTACATTGTCCTGCATTTTGCTTCAGCTACCCCAGACTAACACGGCTACATTTCTATCACTATTCTGCTTCCATTTAGGCCTCTGAATGGAGCCAGTGGATTCAGATCTTGAAAAAGCAGCCTGAGGTTTCTGCTGTGAAGGGGATGGGCTCCAATGGAACAGTGTTCTTCTAGTCAGAGAACTACTCGCATATTCTCCCAGGAGTGTTGCGAGCATGACACGAGAAGTCATTCTTCCTCTCTGCGCTGGTTAGGCCTCCGTTGGAGTATTGTGTCCAGTTCTGGGCACTGCATTTCAAGAAAGATGTGGAGAAATTGGAGAGGGTCTAGAGAAGAGCAATGAGAATGATTAAAGGTCTAGAGAACATGACCTATGAAGGAAAGCTGAAAGAATTGGGTTTGTTTAGTTTAGAAAAGAGAAGACTGAGAGGGGACATGATAGAGGTTTTCAAGTATCTAGAAGGGTGTTACAAGGAGGAGGGAGAAAAATTGTTCTCCTTGGCCTCTGAGGATAGGACAAGAAGCAGTGGGCTTAAACTGCAGCAAGGGAGGTTTAGGTTGGACATTAGGAAAAACTTCCTAATGGTCAGTGCGGTGAAACACTGGAATAAATTGCCCAGGGAGGTTGTGGAATCCCCATCTCTGGAGATATTTAAGAGCAGGTTGGAGAGGCATCTATCAGGGATGATCTAGACGGTGCTTCATCCTGCCGTGAGGGCAGGGGATGAGACTTGACCTCTCGAGGTCCCTTCCAGTTCTTTGATTCTACCTCAGCAGGGGGAGCTGTGGATGTTGCCTGTCCAACCCTCATCTGTCTCTTCCCTGGTACCTTGCTCTTTACGGCCCTGGTCCAAACATATACGGAGCTTCTCATGCCTTTCTCTCAACACCTTTGCATGGAAATTCTCGGCACAGATAATGCAAGAAAGAGCCATGGAGGGTGAAGAATGTGGCAAGGCAGGGAGAGGCCTAGTGGTCTCATTCCATCCCTCCCAGGTCTGGCTTGCGGGTCCCTCCCCCAACGAGCGCTCTGCTTTGGGCCCACATGGCGGAGAACGTGCTCCTGCCCACGTACCTGCGGTGATGGACGCCAGCCGGACATAGTCAAAGCCCCTGATGAATGGCTCGTACGGAGAACTCTCCAACACATTCATACCTGAGGGGAAAAGGCAGGTAAATGGAAGCACAAGACAGTGAGGCAGCTCTGGCTCCAGAGATTTGAGTTAGGACACCCCTCGTGAACCTGTCTCAGCACAAAATCCCAAGTCTGCAGTAGAAGGTTTCTATGAGTCCATTTCCCCAGAGTAATGCTCCGTATCTTAGGGGCTGGTGGAAGACGCGCCAGAACAACTACCCCAAAGAGCCAGGTCCTATCCTTATCCCCAGCCCAATCCACAGCTGTCGACACAAGCCTACCCCTTGAAAATGAGCCCCAACTTTGGCGTGGGTGGGTTCGCTTCTAGCAGGGAGAGCTACTCGATCTCCCGGAACCACTCAGGTCTTGGGCCTCTTTGCTGTCAACGAAAGGCCCAGTCATCCAGGGAACCGGACACGTTCCAGGACTCCGCATATGATGGTAGCCATTTTAATTCACCACACACCCAGGTTCCAATCACCCCCGTGGGGGCTTTCTTGAGCTAGCTGCTATCCAGAAAGCCTCCCCCCTCCCCACCCCACTGCTCGGCTGTACTGCTTATTGCCTTCATATTTATTAACACTGGGACAGGCTACTCTTTCTAGCTGAACATACAGCGAGTGACACGCAGCGCCTGCATAAGCCTCCCGGTACAGATTAAGGATGCCAGAACGCTAATTTTGTTCCCTCAGACTTCTCCTCTTATCACCTCCAAGGACTATCATCTGCCATCTTTCTGATGGATGCCACCGAGTATTACTGAGGCAAATAGCTTAGCAAGTTTTTAAAAACAAACAAACTCTGGATGGATTAGACAATATCTGGATAAGATCAGCAGCCTCAGCTATACCAGCTGGGATAAAAGAGCTATCAAACATCTTGCTTCAGTGCCTATGCTGATCACCAGCTGCGGTCAGGAAGAAATTGCCCCCTTGACACACAGTACTACGCAATTACCACCCGTGTCTTCCAAGGCAAGTTTACAGTTTTCTTTGAATTATCTGCCACTGACTGCGCAGGGGACCATTCGTGTGTGGCGGTGGAGACGTTCTTGTGTTCTGATGATACCACATGGCATCGGGTAATGTGTGTCCAAATACGGAAGTGCCTAAACACGGACATTTTCAATAGATGTTGAGTAAAGGCTATACTATTTAAATTCCTTGGGTGTATGTTTCCACAACTGAGTTTCATAAAGGCTGCCGGGCAGCTTTTCTGGCCTCCTGGGCACATAGGTATGAAAGAAAAACCTCTGAAAGGCAGTTTCAGATTGGCTCCCTTTTTCAATCAGACAGACAGGTAGGGACATTTAAATATGTAAATAGTAGAAAAATGTGCCCCAGAGGAAATGAAAGAGGAGAAAACAGACTCAGGGGTCTGCAAGTAAGTTTGCGGCTCAGAGAAAATAAAGGGTTCACGATATGTAAAGCTGGGTCATGTGCAGTGGAAAGCAGAACTTAATCCAGTCCTTATTCACAGCACTCACTGCTTTTCCATCCTTGCAGTACACAGCTTCGTACAGCCTGGAACCCTGCAAACGCAAACACTAGATGGCTCTTATCGGCCGCAGCCCATGCAGCTGAGCTGGGAACGGCTCTTATCGGCCACAGCCCATGCAGCTGAGCTGGGAATGTAGTGAGGAATAAATCACGTCGACCTTGATTTCAGCTTCACAATAATGTGAAGCGTGGTGTGGGGCCAGTACGCACATATCCGGTAAACAACTGTGATATAACTAGTGTGGGTTGTCCCGTGCCTGGTGAGTTTCACCAGGGACCTAGACCTTGGAGGGTGCCCTGGATTCCCCCAGCTGGAGCCACATCACCCTTGAGGATCAGGGACGGGACTCCCCCTGGTAGAAGGGACATAAGCATTCCAACTACCTTTTACTCTTCTATGAATGGCTCTGTAGCGCTTGCTGACTAATAAAATAGACTATCCCTAATCAACTCTGTGTTGAAGCGAATCCATAATCCTGTTCATCCATGGCCCTGTGAGTTGACACCTCAACTACTGGGCCAATGCATCTCAATCCTGACCGTCACGTCCCCTGCTCTTCCAGTGTAGACTACTCAAACAGCTCTGCTGACACGTCTCAGTCTTGATTTACCGCCCTTCTGGCTATTATAAACCCTCCAGCCTGTTTAGGCCTAGACGGTTCCTTTTTTAAGCCCTCTCCCATCTGTTGCAGCTTTGATCAGGTGGGAGCAGACGAACACCACCAGCCCCGAGTGAGGGAGGGGGCAGGGCTATGGAGAGCGGCTCGGGCCACCCCATGCCCAGGAGATGGGAGGACTTGGGTCAGCCTCACGCAATATCCCGTTTTCCCTTTGGGAAATATGGTCACCCTAGATCTGGGTCAGTGTCTATACCCCTCCGTGCTGCGCACCACTTCGAGGTCTGACTTTCAAATTCCGGGGCAGTGGGTAATGATCTCTGGCTTGAAAAAGATCAAAATGTGGGTCAAACGGGCCTGCTTCTTCAGGGATCGAACCGCAGATCCCTCAGAGAGCAGATGGACAACGCAGTCCACGTGAAAGGAAGCACGTCCAAGTGGCCGTTTTCAGCGGATACATGGGAAGCCAGCTGCATTTCTCCACACAACCCGAACACAGGCCGTGGAGAGTTACCTGCCTCTTCTCCCCTAAAGTGTGGGGGGAATCTCACTCAGAGCAGAGGCTTTCCTGTTTCTCTGTGATGCTCTAGGTCAAAGGTCACCTGCCGAACCTAACCCAGTGGCCCACAGAGTCCATGGGGAAGTGGATCTGATTAATTGCCCCCCAAACCCTCTGCCCACCTCCTTTCTCTCAGTTGCTGGGGACACCTTCACTGTTCTACTGGTCATTCAGCTCTGAACCTGGGCATCTTCTTAGATGTGGGTCTCTCTAAACCATCACAGCCAGGCGGGAGGGATCACTTGAGAGGTATCACTTGATTACTTGTTCTGTTCCCTCCCTCTGGAGCATCTGGTATTGGCCACTGACAGCAGACAGGACACTGGGCTAGATGGACCTTTGGTCTGACCCAGTGTGGCCGTTCTTATGTTCCTATGAGATGTGCATTCCCTACCTGGACGATGGCCTTACGAGCAGCTGTACTTTTGAAGAGCACATGGAGAATGTAAGGAGAGTATTGCCAGAGCTAGAGAAGCATGGAGTTAATCTGAAAGCTTCTAAAGGTGAGCTCTTTAAGAAAGAGGTATTTTGGAATGGTCGTATCTGCCAAAAGTTATAAGAAGATCCATCTAACACCTTGGCTGTTTGCAGACAAGCCACCAAATACCCTAAGGAAACTTCACAAGCTTCTTGGCTTCTTCACCTACTATCCAAGATACTTCAAGACTTTTTTTTTCCAAGTATCAACGCCATTTCTATGACTTGTTGACTGTTCCATTGGAATCTGACACACAACACCATCCAAAGCGGACTTAGAAAAAGAGGAAGCCAAAAGACAAGAAGAGGGTCCTGGATAGAAAAATCCCCAAACACAGAGTACCTTGGACTGAGCAAAATTACAAACTTTTAAACCAGCTATTTTACGTGCTCATGTCACACTCCCCATTAGTATCTGGCCCAATCTGGGGAAGCTAACGATCCAACCAGTTGACCAAATTTGGTGATGGATCCTGATCACGTGCCATATGAAGCACATTGTGCATATGTTAATATGATGACTGAATGATACTGCCACCAATAAAAGTTCATCTCACTGTTGCCTTCCCTATTATCCTGCATATATCCTGTTTCCAGTAAGGGATTAGGTGCAGTCTTATAGCAGAATCAGGAAAGTAAACAGAGTCACTGGTTTGGGGTCAGGAATACTAACAACTGCTTAAAAGAAAAGGTCATGTACACTCAGAAAAGCTGGAGTTCTTTTGAGAGTCACTGGTTTGGGGTCAAGAATACTAACAACTGCTTAAAATAAAAGGTCATGTACACTCAGAAAAGCTGGAGTTCTTTGCTTTGAAGCAGGCTGTAAGTGACTAATTCTGTGACTTCCCATTAGTCTATGTCCTCCCCTCTGCCAGGCTGAATGTCACAATACACCACAAAGTTGCAAAATTAGTTGACTGTAACATCAGAGTTAGAGATCATACAGGGAAATTTAATGTGGAGGCAGATGCCTTATCCAGAATGCTCCTTGATATGGAACAAATGTATGACAAAATGCACTGAAGAGACCAGCAAAGATGGTGTTAATGTTGTCTTCTTGGTTAGCAGTAATTACTTATCAACTCTTCAGCAGCAGAAGACTTCTCCACGGCTATTAAATCCACCACCACACCTATTCCATGCGAAGCCATTTTGGCAGCTGTAAAGGAAGATCCAGCTCTTGCTAAAATTATTCATTATAAGTCTTTGGGAGCATACACTGAACAACCAAAAGAGCATAGAAGGATGGGGTAAGGTCTCTACCCTGATGAGCACATGGTTGCACTTGGATACAGATGGAAGATGTTAGCAGAAAACCAACGTAGGAAATCCGCTGTGTCACCTCAAAAACAATGTGAAGACATGCGACTTTTAGGAGCAGAGCAAGACAATAAGTCTAAAGAGACCACAGATGAAGAAGAACATTGAACATCTCATCACTAGAGTCTGGAAGGATGTCACAATCCTCACCAGCCTTCCAGAGCTCCGCTAACATAGTTACATCAAACCCCTCCGAGCGTGTATCAATAGACTTCATGCATCTAAACAGAAACAAAGGAGGATATTAATATATCCTAATAAGAGTGGATCCATTCACTAGATCTGTCCAAGGCTCTCTTACTACCACCCGGCCAGGCAAGACTTTGGCAGACAAGATTTTCCATTACTTTGTTTTAAAATTGGGTTTTCCTGAAAGGATCCAACATGGTCAAAGTGCAAAGATTGAAAATAACAGTGTTGTCTTCAAGTCATCATTGTCAAGTCCAAGTCGAGTCTCAAGTCACTACAGTTGAAGTCTCAAGTCGAGTCCCTAAAGTCACTTTCAAGTCAAGTCCCAAGTCGAGTCTCAAGTCTTAATTTAAAAAATGTCAAGTCACTTTTGTACAAGCCATCAATATCAGCATTTTCGGACAATTTTTTCACCAAGTCAATTTAACAAAATTAGCAAGTCTCAAGTTGAGTCTCAAATCACAAACAATGAACCCAAGTCGAGTCTCAAGTCGAGTCACCTAGGCGACTTAAGTTGGACTCGAGTTCAAGTCATGGGACTCGAGTCAACAACTCTGGCAAATAATATATTCAGGAGGTCACAGTGCTACTGTAAAATCCCACAAGTCCACCCCACCTCCAGAGCACCGGGGAAGTAGAAAGGCTGAACTGAACTTTCTGGGCTATCTTGAGAACTTTGCCAGAAGAAAAAAAGTTTTACTGGAAGGACTCTCTGAAATCGGGGTAGATTTGAGGGTCAGAGCATGGTCACTTAAATAGCCCTAAAGTGATGGGACCCTTGGGCCCCAGGCTGCATATTTAAAGATCAAAAGAAAAAAGCCCCAACCATCATAAAACAAAAGGCACAGATCTTCCGAGGAGTGGACTCTCACCCAAATTGTGTTGGCTTGAGGACCCTCACACCACAACGACATTTTTCCTTGGCGATTTGTTCTACGATGCCACCCAGCTGTCTCGTCTTTCTCAGTTGCAAGGAGCAGCAGGCACTCAGTCATGTTTGTGACAGTACCGCACACATCGAGTTTTTGACATGTCTTAATGGGTTTATGGTGCGATCAGCACTAGTTACTTCACTTGGTAGCTTCTTAATAGGCTTATGGTGTGATCAGCACTAGTTACTTCACTTGGTAGGGCGAGTAAAAGTCAACGCCACATTTACATGTCTAGTAAAACAGCATCAAGAGAACTTGAGACTGAAATTCAAGCAGCTCTGGACTTCGAGTGACAAAATGAACTCCGCCCTGGCCTTTGCAAAATTATCTTGAGAGACAATCTCTTGAACCAAGTCTAAAATAAAAATATGAACGTTGTCCCAGCTGTTTAAAAACTTCTACCTTTAAAGTCAGATAGGTTGTAGGAAACCAGATGGAGCAGCTACCTCCGGAAAGCCCTCATATCAAGATTTTAGTTCCACCCTCATATTAAGACCTCAAAATATTTTCTTCTTATTACTTTCTTAGATGGTTATCCTTTGCTTGTAACATAGAACTGTGCGCAAATTCATCATCCGCATTGCACACAGATCTCTTCCTATGGCTCGGATAGTTTGTATTTTTAAAAGCCATGGCTTCCCACCTGCTCTGAGACCTATTTACAATTTTGTCATCTTTTTTTCAGATTTGAGTTTGCTGAGCTCATTCACAGGGTTCTCAGATGTCCAGCGGACTTGGAACAAGTCAATTTTCGTTGACTGATACAAATTCATCATCCGCGTTGCACACAGATCTCTTCCTACGGCTTAGATAGTTTGTATTTTTAAAAGCCATGGCTTCCCACCTGCTCTGAGACCTATTTACAATTTTGTCATCTTTTTTTCAGATTTGAGTTTGCTGAGCTCATTCACAGGGTTCTCAGATGTCCAGCGGACTTGGAACAAGTCAATTTTCGTTGACTGATGGATTCCAGAGACTGCAGCTGTGACCACTAAGACCCTCTGTCCCCATAACAGATGGAGGTAAACCATCCGAGCCATCACAGACAGGTTGCTTTTTGCTCAACGTATTCCCTCGCTACTCCTGCGTTCAGCAACAGTTTCATCTTCTAGGTATTCAATTACGTTCTCAAAATGTACAACCATGGCCTCATTCAATTCAAGCTGCCCATGTAGCTTTGCAGCATCCTTTTAGATGTAAAGGTCTCCTTCATTCCTCAGTAGCCTGTTCTATTTCACCTGCTGCATCAATGCTGCTGCCTCCTGCAGGGGTCTGAAATGCATAATCACTTCTACTTCCTTTTGCAAAGCTGTACTCTCTCAAGCAGGGGACAGATAAAGAAGAGAAAGATTAAGAATATAACATAAGAATGGCCACACTGGGTCAGACCAAAGGTCCATCTAGCCCAGTGTCCTGTCTAACAACAGTGTCCAATACCAGATGCCCTCAAGGGAGGGAACACAACAGGTAATCCTCATATGATCCCTCTCCTGTCATCTATTTCCAGACAGAGACTAGGGACACCATTCCTACCCATCCTGGCTAGATGGTCCTAACCTCCATGAATCTGTCTAGCTCTTTTTTGAACCCTGTTAAAGTCCTAGTCTTCACAACATCCTCTGGCAAGGAGTTCCACAGGTTGACTGTGCGCCGAGTAAAGAAAGATTCAATCAGTTTTTCCCATCAGTGGCCAGAGTCTATGAAATAATTTATGCATTTCCTGCAAAGTTGAGAGGGAACATTCAGATCTGGACTGGACTTACCTTCAGTAGCATGCATCTAAGGTAGGTTAATGTAACATGCTGAACAATGAATGCACGGTGCATGCACTTTGTCTGCCTCATCTGAAGGATATTCCTTCAATTTTGCTTGCCGTCCTCTAGATCTTTGGCCATCGCACTGGCACAATCCTATTCCTGTCCAGACATGTATTAGATCCATATTTGTAGAGCCCTGCGTGGATACAACATCTGTATCCACATCTGCATTTGCAAAAGTGATCCCTGGAGAGCCACATCCACGGATGCAGATGCCGGCAGATATAAAGCGGAATCCGCAAAGGTGCAGGGTCCTAGATACAAAAGCTGTATCTGCACCCACATCCATAGCTGCAAAAATGAGCTGGCGACAGGACTGCGGATGGGGGAGGAGGGAGTAAAGGGGGCAGTTGGGGCCCAGCGATTCATAGGGGCCCGGGGCTCCTGGCCACCACTTACCGCAGCGGTGGCGGTGGCTAGAACCCAAGGACCTTAACATCATTGCGGGAGAACCGCTGCCCCCCTTCTGCCTGAGGCCCCATCTCTTCCAGGTCCTCGAGCTACCCCTTAAGCACACCTCGCATGGAGGCCCACAGAAGCTGTCGGCCCCCTTGGCTGCCTCCATATCTGCGGACTTGCTTGGCTGTTGGATTCACATCTTTGGATTTGGTCGCTGAACTTGGTCGACTGGTTGGACTGTTAGCATGATGTAGCCCCTGTGATATGCCCTTGCTAACACCGTTCTAGACCTCCTTTGTAGGGAGCCTGAGGGCATGTCTACACTAGCAACACTGCAACCGCATCACTGCAGTGTAAACACGACAACAATAGGAATGGCTCTTCTGCGGCTGTAGTAAATCCACTTCCCTGAGGGGTGATAGCGAGGTGGAAGGAAGGGCTCTTCCACCAACCGGTCACTGTCTAAACCAGGGCATAGGTTGGCTTACCTACACCAGGCAGGGTGTGAATTTTTCACACCCTTGTGTGACACTGATGGGTTGACCTACATTTTACATGTGTACCAGGCCTGAGTGGCTCAGGGGACTGACCCGTCCTATCTAAGTCACTGCTGGTCCTTTGGCGGAACCCAAAGTCTCTACCATCGGATGTGATTGTTAGGAAACTCGGGAGAAAGGGATTGATGGGTCTCAACCCAGATCCCAGTTGGCCTGAAAAACCACTGCCACAGCCAGCAGTGACTGCAAACCAGGGGGGGCATCTCAGCAGAGAAGTCATGATCTGGGTGGCAACCCAACTTGTCTGGAAAAGGTATTTGGTTTGCCCATGGCAAGGGTGAGGGGAGTGAGCCACCAACTGACCTTCCATCAGGGTGTGGTGGATGCTCCAGTAGACGCTCAGGCAATGTTTCTCCTTCTTCATGCCCCGTTTGCACTTACAGCCGTAGAGCTGGCTGGACAGGAGGGCCATCACTGTGCTCCGGCACTGGTTCTTGGCATCCGGCCCCAGTTTGTTGGCGCCGTTGCCTGCGATACATTGCCGGAGGGTCCGGAACTTGGAGCTGCAGCTGGGGTCGGTGGTGCAGGACTCCCCGGCCTGTAGGCAATCTCTGCCCGAACTCCCTGCTTCCGTCATGCCTTCTGCAAGAGAACGAGAGAGAGAAAGAGAGAGATGGTCATGGTGGGTTGCTCCCAGATGGAAGATCAAAGCAATTCGACAATATCTCCCACTTTCTCGGCCAGGTTGTGAATATGCCTTTGCTTAAATATATAGGCCCTATGGCTTGGCTTTCCCAAAGTTCCCCGGGCATCCAGCAAACAAAGGGCTTGCTCCTGAAGTCCTTCCTCAGGCAGATCTCCCATGGACCTCCAATTGCAAAATCAGGACTTAGACAGTCACTTCCCCACTTGCTGACATGCACCTCGGGTGTGTCTAGACTACAGGGTTTTGTCGACAAAAGTGGACTTTTGTTGACAAAACTATACCTGCGTCTACACTACCGCCGAGTTCTGTCGATGGCAGTAAACCTAATTCTACGAGGAATACCGCCTTTTGTCGACAGAGTTCTGTCGACGGAAGGCGTTAATGCATCTACACTGTCCTTTGCATCTACACTCTCATGTCGACAAAGTGGCTTGCTTTGTTGACAGAACTGGATGTCGTCTAGACGCTCTTTGTCAACAGAAGTTCTGTCGACAGTATCTGTCGACAAAGCCTCTGTCGACAAAAGCCTGTAGTCTAGACGTACCTCTACAGTGGAAAGCAGCAGTTGCTTTAACTGTGTAGCAACACTACCCCAGTGTACAGGTGAGGAAGGGAAGAATGGAACCAGGTGCAAATGAAACTGCAGGGTGGATGGCAGAGAAGTGGAAAGCAGTGTTCAAAACTGGGTCCTGGCCAGGACTCCTCAGGAGAAGAATGATAAACCAGACAAAGCAGCATCTTGATTTGACTTCTCATCCAAAAGGCCGGATTCACGGGAGAAAAGGGGTTGGAGGCGAACCACTAATGGGATCTCTATTCATTGATGTTACTATATAGGTCTGTTTGTCCAACTCCACTTCTGATAGAACGTTGGGGTTGATTTTTGATACTTTTATATTCTTTACTCATATGTGTGGAAGAACAAGACACAAAGACACTGCATGAGTTGCTTCTTCCTGGCCAGGTGGGTTTCTTAGTATGATGCGAAGGGACAAGGAATAGAATGAACAGGTTCCAGGGTATGAGGGGAGTGTAACAGATGGGCATCCATTGAAAGGCTGCCCCGTTCCTTTCTCAAGCCAAGGTCATGCAACCAGTGAGGAGGGCCCAAGAGGCGTGGGGGTGGGGAAGGCATAAGAAACACAACCTTATGCCTTACCACTCTCGCGGGATACAAAAGAGGTGGGACGAAGACCCCAGACTCATGACCCTCTAAAACAGAACACGACCACATGTTGTAATGGGTAGCAATATGGTCGTGCAGGGCAGGTATTTCAGGAAAGATATGGGCAAATTGGAGAAGATCTAAAGAAAAGCAACAAAAATGATGAAAGGTCTAGAAAATACGACCAATGAGGGAAGATTGAAAGAACTGGGTTTGTTTTGTCTGGAAAGGAGAAGACCAAGAGGGGACACGACAGCATATCTAAAAGGGTGTTAGAAGGAGGAGGGAGAAAAATTGTTCTCCTTGGCCTCTGAGGATAGGACAAGAAGCAATGGGCTTACCTGCAGCAGGGGAGGTTTAGGTTGGACAGTAGGAAAAACTTCCTGCCTGTCAGGATGGTTAAACACTGGAATAAGTTGCCTAGGGAGGTTGTGGAATCTCCATCACTGGAGATATTTAAGAGCAGGTTAGACAGACACCTGTCACGGATGGACTCTAGATGATGCTTGGCCCTGCCACAAGAGCCTGTACATGCATCTGACAAAGTAGCTCTTTGCCCACGAAAGCTTATGCTCCAATAAATCTATTAGTCTACAAGGTGCCACAGGACTTCTTGTTGTTTATGCAGATTCAGACTAACACAGCTATCCCTCTGATACTTGTCTCTTAGGAGAGACTTCTTTGCCTCCTCTGGCACCTTTGGGGGAAGAAATATTGTGTGCAACCCACCTCAGAGGCAGTAGTAGGCTATCTTCCATTCTATTCGTGGGGCTTCTCCCCTCTGATTCCCCAGGGATCCCCATTTCTCTTTGTCCCAGTTTCACTAACCTTACCCTCTCCCACGATCCAAACATATTCACCTCTCCAGACAATGTAGCTGTAGGATGTTCATGGTGAGAAAGAGCTACATCTGTGTTGGCTAGAAGGGAGGGCGCGAGCTAGTGTCTAGCTGTTTAAATTCCCTCCCTCCACATTCCAGACCAGCACAAAAATGGCTGCCCTGAAATGCTGAAGTTAATTCTCAACCACATCAACCCCTCAAACTCCAGATCATCTCCAACTCCCCCCGTTCCGAAAGCCTCAGTTGTGTCAAAACTTCAGAGCAGGACAAATTTTAGTTCAGGATCTTGGATTTACTCAGCACATTAGGGCTTTTTAGGTCATTCCAAAAGGTTGATAGAAACATTCTTTTAGGCCTGCATGAAACTCTAGCTTCAGCTCTTACAACCTTAAAAAATGCTTCGACCCATTTTCCTTAAACTCAGCTTGACCCCTAAATCTTAATGAGATCTATAAAACATGCAACGTTTGGTGTCTCTGCCTTCAGTTATCCATGCACAAATATCCTGAGCAGAACATACTGGGAAAGGGTTTTTATTATTATTTTTTTTACATACACATAACTGAAAAAAAACCAGACAATGGATTTTGCTCAGATTTTCTAAAACAGCATCACTACTGGGCGAAGACAAAGGATACATCTAGGCTACGTCTACACTGGCATGATTTTCCGAAAATGCTTTTAACGGAAAACTTTTCCGTTAAAAGCATTTTCGGAAAATCATGCCAGTGTAGACGTAGCCTAGATGTATCCTTTGTCTTCGCCCAGTAGTGATGCTGTTTTAGAAAATCTGAGCAAAATCCATTGTCTGGTTTTTTTTCAGTTATGTGTATGTAAAAAAAATAATAATAAAAACCCTTTCCCAGTATGTTCTGCTCAGGATATTTGTGCATGGATAACTGAAGGCAGAGACACCAAACGTTGCATGTTTTATAGATCTCATTAAGATTTAGGGGTCAAGCTGAGTTTAAGGAAAATGGGTCGAAGCATTTTTTAAGGTTGTAAGAGCTGAAGCTAGAGTTTCATGCAGGCCTAAAAGAATGTTTCTATCAACCTTTTGGAATGACCTAAAAAGCCCTAATGTGCTGAGTAAATCCAAGATCCTGAACTAAAATTTGTCCTGCTCTGAAGTTTTGACACAACTGAGGCTTTCGGAACGGGGGGAGTTGGAGATGATCTGGAGTTTGAGGGGTTGATGTGGTTGAAAATTAACTGCAGCATTGCAGGGCAGCCATTTTTGTGCTGGTCTGGAATGTGGAGGGAGGGAATTTAAACAGCTAGACACTAGCTCGCGCCCTCCCTTCTAGCCAACACAGATGTAGCTCTTTCTCACCATGAACATCCTACAGCTACATTGTCTGGAGAGGTGAATATGTTTGGATCGTGGGAGAGGGTAAGGTTAGTGAAACTGGGACAAAGAGAAATGGGGATCCCTGGGGAATCAGAGGGGAGAAGCCCCACGAATAGAATGAAGATGCACCCAAACTGTGCCAACATTTCAGCCCTAAAGAAATAAATGTCAGTATCACCTGAACAACAGTGGAATGGAACCTGGGATTGAATGTGAGTTTCAGCAGATACTAACCGTGTGGGGTATAAACACAGACTATCTGTAAAGACTATAACATACTTGGGGAACCCTACTGGAAATAAATCAGACATTTGCAGACTGAAAAATTTATCTACAGAATATGTTCTCAGACTGAGACCTGCTCACACAAAGAGCACCCAGGAACAATATTTACCCAACCCAGGTTCTAATGCCCGGAGTGCTGGCGCTATTTAGGATGCAGACCCAGAAGCAATCTCAGCTGGGCTGTTACAGATGGCCCAGTCCATAATGGCATCATTTAATAACTAAAGGATATGGGGGATTTTGATGGATAGCAGCGTCTTTGTTGGTGAGACAACACAGAATCATGTTTCCCCCCGTATAGCCCTTGGGAGTCATTTTATCCAACTTTAAGAGGGTGTCTCTCTGAGAAGAATCTCTGTAACTTATGATATGGAGCTTCTTATACTGCTCAAGGGTGAAAGGGACAAAGGAACATAAGAATGGCCATATTGGGGCAGGCCAATGGTCAGTCTAGCCCAGTGTCCTCTCTTCAGATGGTGGCCAATGCCAGGTGCCCCAGAGGGAGTGAACAGAACAGGGAACCATCAAGTCATCCATCCCCTGTCACCCATTCCCAACTTCCGGCAAACAGAGGCTAGGGCCACTTTAGAACATGGTTTTGTTGCCCATCCTGACTAACAACCATTGATGGACTTATCCTCCATGGATTTATCTAGCTCTTTTTTTGAACTCTGTTATGGTCTTGGACTTCAAAATGTCCTCTGGCAAGGAGTTCCACAGGTTGACTATGTGCTGTGTAAAGAAATACTTCCTTTTGTTTGTTTTAAACCTGCTGCCTACTCGTTTCATTTAGGAACCTCTAGTTCTTGTGTTATGAGTAAGTAAATAACACATCCTTATTTATTTTCTCCTCTATCGTACCCAACATTAGTCATTTCCTTTCCAAGCGGTAAATTCCCAGTCTTTTTAATCTCTCCGCATATAGAAGCTGTTCCATACCCCTCATCATTTGTCTTGCCCTTTTCTGTACTTTTTCCAATATATCTTTTTTGAGATTGAGGGAGGAGCAGATCTGCAAGCACTAAGTCAGATTTTCCCTGCCAAGGATGAGCAAGTTCGTAGTCTTGCTATCACTTGCGTTCTTTGGGGGAGAGAGGTCTCTTTCAACATAATTCTATCTTCTGAATTATACTTCGTGCCCATCACCATGATATGCAGGTGCCAAATTCAGGTCACTGCATTTGGCTCACAGATGTGGGGATGTATTTGCTGCTGCCTCTTTTGTTGTAGCAGAACTTTCAGCTCCCTTATCTACCGTTGTTTATTTTGAAAGACCTTTTACCTGGTTTGCAAT